TGATGGGAACTAGAAAAGATCATCCTGAGTGAGGTATCCCAGAAGCAGAAAGACACACAGGGCTTATACTCACTCATAAGTGGATATAAGACATATACTATAGCAGAAACATACTAAAATCTGTACACCTAAAGAAACTAATCAAGAAGGAGGTCTCTGGGTAAGATACTCAATCCTCATTCAGAAAGGCAAAGAAGATGGACATAAGAAGAGGGGGTAAACAGGAGACAGGACAGGAGCCTCCCACAGAGGGCCTCTGAAAGGCTCTACCCTGCAGAGTATCAAAGCAGATGCTGAGACTCATAGCCAAACTTTGGGCAGAGTTCAGGGAATCTTATGAAAGAAGGGGGATATAGTAAGACCTGGAGAGGACAGGAGCTCCACAAGGAGAGCAACAATAGAACCAAAAAATCTGGACACAGGGGTCTTTTCTGAGACTGATACTCCAACCAAAGACCATTCATGGAGATAACCTAGAACCCCTGCCCAGATGTAGCCCATGGTAGCTCAGTGTCCAAGTGGGTTCCCTAGTAATAGGAACAGGACTGTCTCTGATATAAACTGATTGGCTGGCTCTTTGTTTACCTCCTTCTCAGGGGGGAGCAGCCTTACCAGGCCACAGAGGAAGACAATGAAGCCACTCCTGATGAGACCTGATAGAAACAGGATCAGAAGGCAGGGGAGGAGGACCTCACCAAACAGTGGACTAGGGGAGGGGCATGGGTGGAGAAGAGGAACAGAGGGTGGGATTGGGAGGGGAAGAGGGACAGATCCACAGGTGGGATACAAAGGGAAAAAGCTGTAATTAATAAAAATAAAAATATATATAAAAAAGAGGAGTTGTTAGCAGTCATGGTGGCATACCCCTTCAATTCCAGTACTGAGGAGATTATGGTGGATTTCTCTGAGTCTGAGGCCAGCCTGGTCTAATGTCTCAAAAATATTTTTATGTCTATTTTACATTTTGTCTTTAATAACACACACGCATACAAACACACACAATCACTACTTTTACTTTAGTATGTGATATTTTAAAATATTTACCTCTGTCAAAAAAGAGCTTCAAATTCAAGAGGGGAAAAACCAAATTACAAGCTATTTATTTATAATTTTATATGTGCATATATATAATTATACCGTATAAACTAAAGCTAGTTTAGTTAATTTAAGAACAATCTTTGTGGGAGGACTATTTTACCTGGTCTGCCAAGAACTACAATCTTACTAAAATAGATCTGTTACTGCTTGTCCCTGAAAAAGCCACATCAAAAGGGCCTGACTGTGTAATGACCTTCAAATTAGGAACACTATGTTTTGCTTCAAAAAGTATGCAGACTACTAAAAAAAAAAAAAAAAAAAAAAAAAAAAAAAAAAAAAAAAAAAAGTGCCACTGTTTCTATTGGTCTACTCTTGTTAGTGAACCAGACAAGTCTTCAGAGTGGAGAGAGGTGAGGAAACCTCCAGGCCTGGCCACATTAATTTGAGATCTTTGAACAACTATTGAGGAAGCATGTGCACAGATTTTCTTTTCCTTTTTTTTTTTCTTGTTGACAATCCTGTGTAGTGTTTCTTTGTACAAGTAGCAAACAAGCCAAAGGCAGTCCAGGGGTCAGTCCCGGGCTTCAGCGTAGAGGTCTATATTAAGGAGACTGTAGAAGCTGAGTACCCTTAGGAGTTTAATATGGAGTTAGAATTATATAGAGAGATTGGCCTTGAACTGTAGCTGTCTGAGCTAGTCCAAGCTTCATGTACTCTTCCTGGGCTTGGCATGGATGACAGAAACAAGTTCACTGAATGTACAGCTGATGATTTGGGATTTGACCTTCTTGAGTTTCATGAAGGCTTAATAACTTCAGCAACTACAGGGATGGGTTTGGCATTGCTGGACTTAGCTTTCTGTATACTAGGCCTGCATGCTGAGAGTGTCCCATATCACTCTCAGACTCTATAGGCTCTTATATTGTGCTTCCTGACTAAGTTTTCTTCAGAAACTTGGACTTTACCATTACATGACTCCTCTCTGTTGCTGGGGTTTCTTTTTTTCTTTTTGTATTTCTGGGAATGGAACTTGGGACTTAGTGCCTGCTAATGCTGATGTGAAAGAACTTTTACTCTCAAGGGAACAAGAGGCTGTTTATTCTGGGCCAAATTGAATAACCATGGCCTGGGAATATCCTTTAGGTTGGCTTGAATGACGTTCTAATACAGATGACGGTATATGAATGATAGTCTCAGAACAAAAAAAAACTCATAAATGAACTTATTTACCAAACACGGTGGGAATATTAGAGAAGAAGGGTACGTGAGCGGGGAAATAGCTACAGGTTTCAGATGTGTTCAGAGCGCTTATCTTTATGTTTGCAAGCTGGTGCTCTGCCAAGCAGTGCATTCCAAAAGTTTTACCTAAGAGTGTAAACACGCTGGGCCAGATAGTGGGGGTGGGCAGTAAATGGCTATTAAGAGGACCAAAGATAGCCCAACATAACTTTGATTTTTGATCTACAACATTCCATCTTTCTGAAATCCTGAAGGTCCAATCTAGTCTGCCAGACTTCAACACTAGTGTTTTAATAAAGAGACACCACATAGCTTCTTCGGAGAACTTCAGTTCACATCAGGCAAGGCAAACGTTCTGCCATGGAGCCTGCAAACAGTCTTCTTGATACCATTTGTAAAGCTGATTGTATATGACATGTGTTTGTACCACAAAGCTCTTGAAGGGGCTGGGGCCAGAAGAGAAAAATCACAATTTATTTCTTCATTTCATTTAAACATGTTCATTAATACAGGCGATGGTTAAGTCAGAGCTTCAAAGAGATCTTATCCAGTCTCTTAGTAAAGTTAGAATTTGCAGCTTCCTGACTCTGGATGCTCAAGCTTTTGTTAACGTTCTTGGACATCTTGGTGGACATTTGACATGTTCACAAGCTATTTATTATTGTTGGCATGTTGGAAAAGAAACTCATGCGTGTTGGGAAGTATTCGGCCATTCAGCTCCAATCCTAGCCCTATCTCCAGGTTGTGAAGACAAATGTTTTTTCTCTAGGACACTAACATCCATACTCAGAATCCTCAAACGCTAGCTGGCATAGGTTTGGCAAACAAACAAAAACAGGACTCTGGTAGGAGGCCACTTATCCTAACACAGTGATATTTGCTGAGAATTCTCCTAAAGAAGTGGGTAAGTCCCAGCTCAAAGGTTTGTATGTTTTGCACCCCGCCCCCACCGGTTGGGTGGCTTCCACAAAGACAGAAACTCTTGGTGTTCAACCAGTTTCCCCAGGGGATGAAGTTCTAAGTCAAGTGACTGCCCTGCTACAAACAGTGAAGCTCATTGTAAAGCCTCACAGAGGTCCTGGCTCTGAGTCACAGGTAGCTGCCCAGCAAGCTGCTATGCTGACTTGGTTCGGTTCACCGCCTCCCACACCCCCTTATTCTTAGTTACAGCCACTGTCTTCATAACTTTTCTCCCCCCCCCCCCAAGTTGTGTATGTGTTGGAGTCCTCCTTGGTTACAGAGATTCCATCTTTTGTATACAGTCTTCCTTTTGTACTAAGCAAAATTTTCAGAAACAGCTTCAGGGGCCAATGTCTCAGACAGCCACCATAACCTACTCTACGCTTTGTTGGTTAACACATGGGTGCTGATTGGCTGGCCTCGATCCAGGCCACGCTATGAAGGAAGTCATCTGAAGTAGTTGACATAGAAACTCACTTAGGATACCAGGTGTAACCCATTTAAGGTGCCAGGTGGGAAATACGGTGTGAAACAAGCGCACGTATGGATTGGATGGCCCTATTGCACCTAGTGTGCGCGCGCGCATGTTTGTGTGTGCGTTTTCTTTAAAGAGTTTTTTTCTGCCCTTGGTTTGACTCTGGATCCTGAACCCAGTCTCTCTGACATATCTGCTTTTAAATAAAGATACTTTTTGTTCCTCAAACTTGGCTTTCATAGCGGATCATTTCCCAAATCATCGGACCCTAACGTATGTTATTCTAAACTCCTGTATCTAAGACCCTGGAAGATTCAGCACCGGTAATAACTCAAGCACTGATTGTCAAAAAGCTTTTCTTCAGTTTCTCCCTCCCGAACTTCCGGCAAAGGCTCTGTTCAGCGAAGGCCAAGTCATGGGTTCTGTGCCTGACGATCAGACACTAGGATTCCCAGCCTTGTCTTTTCACTTCCTGAGACTGGAGGACAAGCTATTTAACCTGCTTGGGCTTCCGCGGTCACTTTCCTCAAATGGGTACATTAATGTTTAACCGAAAAAAAAAAATGAGTGGTGTAAAATTCATACTAAAAGAAATAGCTTTACAGTTGTAGTGACTGTGAGGAGAGATTCAGGTAGAGAAAAAAACCTGGCGCTCCCTTGACACCCAACAAGCAATTGTTAGACTCCTCCCTTCAGCGTGGGTCAGGAGAGGGGAAAACAAGGGCCCCAACCGAGGCCCTGGGTTCTGAGACCAACACTTGGACAGCGCTCTAACCAGAGGCCCCAGAGGCCCGCGGAAACAGCAGGTGGAACAGCCAGGCGTCTGGGGATTTGAGGGTGGGAGGACCTGGCACGGGCAGATGAGGGGTCGGGGACAAGACATGCTTCCCGAGCAGGGGTCTGGGAGACGCTTGGGAGGAGGAGGCGACCACAGTTCCGTTTCCAGTGGCGACCTCGCGGTGGGGCCAGCGCAGGACAGTCAGGAGGGCGTCTCTCTCTAGGGCTCTGGGTTTTACTAGCGAAGGCGAGCGGTTCCTGTTCCCTGGAGCCGGAGAGGCCGGCGGGTCAAACCCGGAGCCCTGCAACGGCCTTAACGCCGCCTAACCCCAACGGAAGTGCCAGGGAGGAAGAAGCTCGTGGGCCCGGAAAGGGGTGGGGCTCTACCGTAGGGCGGGGCCCTAAGCCAGGGCCGGCCGGCCCAGAGGGCGGAGCCTAGCACAAGGCGGACTCTACTGGCGGGGGCGGTCCAGGGGCGGGGCCTGTGCCGCGGGGCGGGGCTTGGCGACGGTTGTTTTCGGGCCCCAGTACGCAGCCCTCAGTTGGGGCTGCTCCGCTGGCAGCGGGCGAGACCAGCTTCGCGGACGCGCGCTCGCGGACGGAGCCGAGAGAGCCCGAAAGCTGGGTCCGGTGGGCAGCGTCCCCTTGGTCGTCGGCCGCAGCGATGTCTGCCCGGTGCTGTGCTGGCCAGGTGAGCGAGGCGGGTTGCAGCGCGGGTTGTCAGACCGTGGACGCGGCCGCGCGCCGGGCTCGGGTTTGGAAAACCCTGTGGGCGGGAAGGGACTCGGGGAAGCCCGAGAGGCCACCCCGGTGACCTCAGTGTCAGGCCTCCAGGACTCCGGGCTGGCGGGGCGAGCGGGTCTGGAGCTGAGGATCCCATCGGTTCCCGGGACGTGTCACCTCCTGCCGGAGCCTCGAGAGAGTGGCGCTGAGCTACTCAGCTCTTCCTGCCACTGCACTGCCCGTGGGATGAACCCAGAAAAAAACATGGGGTTGGACAAGATCTCTGTTTCCACACTCTAAACACAACTTGTCAGCTCAGGAAGGGCGCGTTTGGCATCTCCAGGTCTAGAATGTGGGTTCTCTACTCAGGAGAACGGCTGGAAACCTGATTTGCAAACTCCCAGGCACGAGCCTTGGCTCAGGGAAGGCTCCGCTCTGCTTCCCATGTTTAAGGACCGGACCCTACGCAAACCTGACTGGGCATGAGCCTTCACTCCCTTCTTTGCAACTCATCTTGCTGGAACCTGTTTTGTAATCTTGCCAGTTAAATTCACGACAGCCAAGCTACAGGCGTCTTCTAACTGGAGAGAATTATTAGGTTTTAGCCCTTTAATGCTAATTTCCCTTCTTTCTGCAGGGTTAGAAAAACAACAGCGAACTAGGTGAAGCCATCTGGTTGTTCTCCCACGTTGATTATGTCTTTGTGTTCGGTTTTAATGGGTTACAAAAAACAAAAACTGGAATCTGATCGCAATGGGTGGTCCTGCAGGTGCAAGACCGGTCTTGTTTACTTTGAGTGTTAGGACAATGGAGGCCAGCAGAAGTGGCTAGGGGTTAAGCTGTGTCTCTGGACCCGCAGGTTTTAGTGGCCAGTAATTCTTCCTGTCCTCTTTGAGGTGGCCATGTGGAGTCATCTTGGTTTCTGAGGTCTAGTACTGTGCTTGGCATACAGTCAACCTGGCATTTTCAGAGATGAGGAAATTGAGGCTTTTTGATTTGAGGTAAAACGACACCCCCTACTCCCCAGTATCAGGAAAGGAAAAAGCGAAGGAATGTGTCCCATCCGGGCTTTTGAGACCAAGAGTGGCCAGAAAAGATTGTTTTCAGAGAATTGCAAGTTTTCTCTCTTTTAATGTGGTGCTGGAATGGTACATAGCTCTTGTCCTGTATGTGCCAGGCAGGTGTTTTATCATTGAGCAGCACCTCCAAATGCATTATTCTTGTTCTTTTGCGATACTCTTCAATTAATGCAACACTTTTCAGTGTATAGTAATTGCATATATTTGGGGCCATCTGCCCTTCTGCTCCCTTAGAAGTCCTTTGAAGCTCTCTCAGGACAGGTGCCAGATTTCAGGCTCTGAAAATTATTGTTAGTACTTAAGTGAGTTTTAAAAAAAATATATTGGTATGAGTGATATTTTACCAGAATTTATGACTTGTTTATAAAATCCCCCTCTTAGGACTTTGGAAAGAACCAAGTGTTGGTTGTCTCCCCAGGATAATAACTTCTGCTTTCTCAGTGCTGCTGAAGGCCTCACTGTGGTAGGTTTTATTGTAGGACGCAGCCACTCACACCGTGATTTTATGTAGTTGGGGGGGAATGTTAAACCCTTAGCAGGAGTTTGTGTGAGGGTGTAGGATATAGCTAAAGGTTAGAATGCTTGCCCAGCATGTTCGTGGCTGCGTTCAGCCCTTAGCACTGTATGAAACGAACCCCTCAACCCTCACAGCATCGCCAGGAGCCAAATCTGCCATTTATATCCTTATTGTCTTACCAGCACATGCTCAATGCAAGGAGGATACACTGTAAGAAGCCAGACATCTCTGCTGCAGGGACCTGTGTGCGTACACAAGTAACACGGGCATCCCATAGCGTGTGAACAACAATGATAATCCCGTAGCCTTGTGACAAGCTGGGCAGTAAAGCAGCCATGGGAGGGTTGGGTGAGAAGCTTGTCTAAGAATATGCCTCTAGACTTGAGATGTAATGGAGGAGTACAGGGGCTGGACTTAGAGCAGGTCAGAGAACTTGCTGGGCCAGATGTGACTGGAGATTGTCAGCCTGTAATCCCACACAGTGAGTCATATCCTTGGTGAGGGCAAGAGTTACTGAGCATGACCCGGAGATACGGGAGCTAAGGGAGCTAAGAGAGTACGGTACTTGCAGCAAGTAAAGCGAGCAGTGGGCACAATGCCTGCGCTTGCTGCTGCCCACGCCTGAAAGCAGGGATTTTATTCAGGAGTCTTCTGCATGCTCACTGTGGAATGACTGGCCATCACTTGTGGAGGGTGCCTCCCCGAGTGAGCTCACTTTGAGAAAACATCTTTGTATAGCTCAGACTCCAGAATGGCTAAGGAGAAGGTCTGCAGGTAGTGAGATCACAGTGAGCAACTGGATTACCTAGAATATCTAGATTTTTGCTGTTTCATGTGGCTACTTAGGAATTTCCTGGGGGGCACTGAATGAAACAAACAGAAACATAATTTGAAGAGATGTTATCAGTTCCGCAGACCCCACCTCCCTACAGGCAAGTGGTAGACCCTGCGCCTGCTGTGTATCTAACAGTGGTTCTCAGCCCATGGGTCAAGGCCCCTGGGATGGGGGTTTGACAACCCTTTCACCAGGGTCACCTAAGACCACTGGAAAATGTAGATATTTACATTACAGCTCTTAACAGTAGTAAAGTTAGAGTTGTGAAGTAGCAACGAAAATACTTTTCTGGCTGGGGTTCACCACAGCGTGAGGTGTATTATCTGGGTGAAGCCCGGACCTAGCAGATCCTCCGCGGAGTGTGGAAGTGAGAGGGACAGGCTGAGCAAGGATGAGCTGTGTTGATCTAGATCTAGAAGATCGCTGTAAAGGCTGCACCAGAAGGGAGAAAGGTGAGGGAAGAGAACAGCCCAAGTATTCATATGCTGTTCACTTACCAAATACTTCCTTTTGCTTGTTGGTTTTTAAAAACCAGATCTTAAAGTAGGCAAGGCTCGTCTTGTAATCCTCCTGCTTCATCCTCCCAAGTGCAAAGATTAAAGGGCTACACTACTTGATATACCTGGCTGGCTAGGTATATTTAACGTGGCTGGCTTCAAGCTCTATGAAATAGAGACTAACTAGCCTTGCACACCTGATCCTTCTGCCTCTCCTGTCTGTGTGCCATTATGCCTGGCTACAGTCAGTATCTATCTATGCAATTACAAATATGTATATAAATTTAATTTTATTTTAGCCTGTATGTATGTCTATGTACCATGTGCCTGCCTGCTGCCCTCAGAAACCAGAAAGAGGGTGTTGGTTCTCCTGCGGCTGGAGTTGCAGAGGGTTGTGAGCTGCCATGTAGGACCTAGGAATTGAACCTGGGTCCTCTGCAAGAGCAGCCTGTGCTGTTAACTGAGGAGCTGTTTCTCCAGCCCTGACAGTGAATATTTTGTCATGCTTCTTTGTATGTGCCATGTCAAGGCTCTGCAGTGAACACGGCTCCCTGATGGAGCGTGCACTCTGGCAGCCTGTCCTTACTGTAGTCCAGTCCACTGCAGGAGTGGCAGCAGCGGGACACGGTAGACTTTGAGGTAGAGATATATTGGAAATGGGTGTGAGGAGGAGAATAGGACTTGGGTTTTTTGTTTGTTTGTTTGTTTTATTTTGTTTTTTGGGATAACGTTTTTGTGGCTCTCCTGGAATTTGATCTATAGAACAGACTGGCCTCCAACTTACAGAGATCTGCCTGCCTCTGCTTCCTGGGTGCTGGGATCAAAGGTGTGCACCACCACACCTGGCCTAGGACTTGGTTTTTGTGTGCATGGGTGGGTTGTGCCATAATGAGGTGAAGTAGGAGATTAACATTTGACAAGGAAACCCATAGTTTTCTCTTGGCTTTGTGACACTTGAGATACCTGTTACTAAGTTCAGTGAGATTCAGTGCGCTGGGATCTGCATTGAAATTTAAGTCAAAAGAAGTTTAAGATTGTAGGTAAAAATTTTGGATTTAGGTGAGCTGGTATGCCTCTGAAAAAGTCTCTTCTCTGTCTTCAGTTTTCCTTTTCTTTAGAGTTTGTATGGTGATACTGAGGTGATTATAAGGATTACATGTGACGTCAGAGATGAAAATGACAGGATTTGCATGAACACCCAAGTATTTCTTTTATTGTGCAAACTGACTGGGAACTGAGTTTGTAGCCGAGGCTGTGCTTGAAATCACGATATTCCTCCTCCTCAGCCTCCTGAGTTCTGAGATTACAGCCATGTACCACCACACAAATTCCATGTCTTTCCCTGCCCTGCCCATATCAGGACAGTTTGGCCGGTCATCATTCTTATGGTTGCTCTATCAACTCTGATACTAAGATTTACTTGGCTGTTGGCTAATGGATGCTGGTGGAAGCAGAGATGCCAGGGAGAGGCCACATAGCACAATTTGGGGCTAGAGAAGTGTGACCTGGACCTCTAGGGGCAGGATAAGCAGGGCGCTTCCTTGCTCTTCTGACTTAGGGCCTGGTTGGGAATGAGGTGTGAGAGAGCTGTGACATACTGTTGGGGGTCATGTGATATACATACTTAAGAAAATGTAGACAGCCTTGCCAAGACAGTTTGAGAGTAAGTGTTGTCAGGGTTTCCTGCAGGAAGTATGAGCATTCATGGTAGTCATGGTAGTAGTGATGGTTTATTTCAGTGCCCAGTGTGCTATCTGGTTTTATAAATCGATCATCACTGTGGACAGCCCTGTGTCTCACAGCTGGGGCAATTGAAGTGCAAAAACATGGATCAATAGAGTGCTGCATCCACCGTTGGCTACCTCCAGGCTTCAGCTGGCCGACTTCTCTGCTCATATGGTTGTTCCTTGTTTCTTATTACACAGCACAAATGCGTGACTGCATTGAATAGACTTTAGGCAGTTTTGACTATACAATGATAAGGCTGTTTTGGTAGATATTGTTGGCTGCCAGTAGGACCTTTCCTACTAAGTGAGGTGT